TAATTCTTATTTTAACATTTATATTGTTTTGGGACAACACCTTTTATGAATATACTGTATGACATCTTAGAAATCTTGAAAGTTTTAAAATTCAAGCATATTAAAGAGAGGGTGTATTTTCCAATCTTGAATATATTGTTATTCATAGGTAAGTGGTTTCATTTGATCCCAAACTATATGAAAATATGATTAGAATAGAATAACCCTGATTTGAAAATTAGGGGGAAGATGCTTTACTGGAATGGTTTGGCCAAACATGGGATCATTATTTTGAATCAGTTGGTTTTTAAAGACTGTTTCAAAGACTTCAGGACATTGTGTTCTGCATATGATTTGCCTACAACATTCAATGTTGGCAATGCTTACAATCAGTAGTGAAATCCAAATTTTTTTACTACCAGTTCTGTGGGCGTGGCTTGGTGGCCTGGTGTGCTTGGTGGGCATGTCAGGGGAAGAATACTGCAAAATCTCCATTCCCACCCCACTCCAAGGGAAGGATACTGCAAAATCCCCATTCCCTCCCCACTCTTGGGGGAAGGATATTGCAAAATCTCCATTCCCACCCCACTCTGGGGCCAGCCAGAGATGGTATTTGCCAGTTCTCTGAACTACTCAAAGTTTCCGCTACCGGTTCTCCAGAATCTGCTGGATTTCACCCCTGCTTACAACTGAAACAGTACTAACTTAACATTATAGCCTGCAAATGTAAAATAAATTCATGCTTTAAGAATAAAATTACTCTATGAAAAAATATTTGTGCTTTTGGGTCCTTCAAAAAATGTTTGAAGAATGTTGATGAGATGAGATAGATCTTGTCAAAGCAAAATTCAAACATTATGGAGCAGCATTCTGTGTTATAATTTGTATTAGGAAGTTGAAGGAACGTGGTGGCTCACATGGCTTGTACACCTGGCTGACAATCAGCAGGCTCGCATTTGAGACCCGGTTGCTGTTGAGACAGGTGAGCTACAGTCTCATGCTCCAGCTCCTGCCAACCCAGCACTTCAAAAGCAAGCAACTATGAGTAAATAAATGGGTACCATTTAACATGAAAGGAACCCCCAACTGAGTATCCCCCAGGCCATGGTGATGTCACTCTTCAATCTTTTCAACCTGGAAGAGTTTCAGCTCCTGACATGACTATAATAGGAGGAGGAGGAGGAAGTTTCCCTAACAACTGAAATATCTTTTCAAGTGGCATGAGAGCTTTCTATAGAAAGGAGGAATACCTTTATTTATATGTCTGCAGATTCAAATTATTGTTTTCTCTTGCAAATCGTGAGAACTGTCTGAGAAGGCATAACTATATTCCCACGTGCTGAATGATGGCATAGTTGGCTGGTTAATTCAGTTTTGATTTCAGTGTATACATTTTTGAGCCTATGAAATAAACAGCTCTTAACTCAAAGGAGACTTATACCCTAAAATCAATTTATTTCATCCAAATCTCCAGATGTGCAGCCTAATTTTGCAATGATTATTATAGAGGAAGTACTTGTATGTGTTATTGGAACGTTCAAGTATATTGACAGAAGTGTTTCTAATTAAAGCCTAACATAATTTTTTCTTTAGCATCTGCAAAGCTCATGGGTATAGAAGCTAAGGATTTATAAAAACAAGCAACATTCTGAGAGAGGGAGAAAGAGAGAAAGTAAACCTAGCAAATTGCCATGTACAGTATTATTGCATGCACCCTATAATGATCTCTGCCATATGTATATGGGAGGGAGCATACTGCTTCCCTTTCGCCTTTCAGCTCCAATCCAGGAGCCCTCAAGCAGTCACATTCACGACAAACCATTTTATACCAAATTTATATTTGCTGATAAAGAAATACAGGGAGACTAGTATAGATCTATTTCAAGCTATTTAGCTCTCATCAGCTCCTAGATTGGAGCTGAAAGGCGAAATGGAAGCAGTATGCTTCCTCCCATATTGGGGTAGACCAGGTGCTTCGGCAGAAAAACACTTAATCTCTCCCCTGGCTCAAGATGATAAAGGGAGGAGAACTTGTGGCTCAGAGGTTAATACAACTGCCTAATATGCAGGCAGCCCAAGTAAGGGTATCTTGTTTTAATCTCATATGTTTTTCTTCTCCACAGAAAGCAACAAAGGCTAATGGAAGAAGTTATTATAGCTATCAGTGGCAACCTGTAGTAGAATAGAGAATGCAGAATGGTATTATAGGTTATGGCATATGATTTGGACATATTCAGTACAGGTAGCCCTTGACTTGATGAGACACAGTGGTGCAGTGGTTAGAGTGCAGTACTGAAGGCTACTTCTACTGCCTGCTGGTTGCCTACAATTTGGCAGTTCAAATCTCACCAGGCTCAAGGTTGACTCAGCCTTCTATCCTTCCAAAGTGGGTAAAATGAGGACTCAGATTGTTGGGGGAAATATGCTGACTCTGTAAACCGCTTAAAGAGGGCTGTAAAGCACTGTAAAGCAGTATATAAGTCTAAGTGCTATTGCTATTGACTTATGACCACAATTGGGATCAGAATTTCCATCGTTAAGGCAGTTGTTAAGTGAATTGCATCCAATTTTATGATCTTTTTTTTTTTTTTTTGCTATACTTGTTGAGTGAATTGCTGAAGTTCTTAGGTGAATCAGGGTGTCATTCAGCAAACCTGGCTTACCCCATTGACTTTATCTGCTGGAAGATTTATTTATTAATTTATTTATTATTTAAATTTCTATACCGCCCTTCTCCAGAATAGGACTCAGGGCGGTGAACAGCCAGAATAAAAAACAATACATACAAAATTTAAAAACAATTTAAAATAATTAAATATTATTGGCCGTAAATTAAAATAACCCAATTTAAAATCAATTTAAAATTAACTCAAGCCAGCCCCGCTAATTAAAATAAATGGGTTTTCAGGGCCCGACGAAAAATCCGGAGGTCTGTTATTGTACGTATCTCCGGGGGGAGGTTGTTCCAGAGGGTGGGCGCCGCCACAGAGAAGGCTCTCCCCCTGGGGGTCGTCAGCCGACATTTTCTGGTGGACGGCACCCTGAGGAGGCCCACTCTGTGCGAGCGTACTGGCCGGTGGGAGGCTATTGGTGGCAGAAGGCGGTCTCGTAAGTACCCGGCCCTAAGCCCTAAGATGGTTGGGAAGGTCACAGATGGTGGTCAGATGACCCCGTAGTGCTGCAACTATTGTAAATACCTGTTCATTGCCATCAAGTGTTCAGATTTTGATCACATGACTATGGGGATGCTTCAATGGTTGTAAATATGAAGACTGATTGTAAGCCATTTTCAGTGTCACTGAAACTTCAAACAGTCACTAAACAAATGGTTGTAAGCCAAGGACCAAGTATATCTTCTTTTGGGGTTCTCTATGCTCTGAGTCATCACGTTCTAATTCTCATTGAATAAATAACATTAGCAAGTGGGATGCAGGAAGTGGGTCTTCTCTATCATGGCATCTGCTGTCTGAAACAATATTATCTCTGAGATTTATATGTCCCTCACCCTCACTCTGTTTAAATTAGCCTTTAAAAATGTCATAAAGAAATAAAGAAATCTCTGCCCTACTACAGTATCTATGGAGAGGTCTAAAATGTTCTGTACGTATACATCAATGTAGCATACAAACATGAGGATTATCTTAAATCAAAGTGTTTAAAAATTTTATGCTATTATTTCCATTCTGGCCTTGTGTAGAGTAGAAAGAAAATGACCTTGAGAGAAACAGGCCTGGAATTATTTTGTATTTATTTAAAAGATTTATATGGCCACTAATCTTAAGCAATTCTTGGTTTACAACATTATTATCAGGTAAAAGAGGCTGAAACACTTTTTAATCTTTTTTTGTAATTAAGCATGTCTCAATAAAAGTATTTTAATCTTTCTGCAGAGTGGATTTCATGGTCTGGTCTATTTAGTAGGGCTAACACCTAATGATCTTAAAGAGGTTTATGATTACAACCAGTGGTGGGATTCAGCCAGTTCGAGCCAGCTTATGTGAACCGGTAGTTAAATTGCTGGCTGGCCCCGCCCCACCCTGCCCCTTCCCCATGCACCCCATTTTGTCTCACAGATAAGTGCAGGGAGGTCTCCTAGGCCCACAATGGGGCATGAGGGGGCAGCACCCCCCACGGCCCGTATTTGCTCCCAGGAGGCTTCAGGGATGCCTCCTAGGCCCAAAATGGGGCACGGGGAGCAGCGTGTCCTCCCCGTGGCCCTTTTTTGTTCCCAGGGGGTTCAGGAGGTTGAGTGCTGCCTGTCACACACCCTGGCCACGCCCACCCTGGCCACGCCCACCCAGTCAGTCATTAGGGCAGAGAACCAATTGTTAAATTATTTGAATCCCACCACTGATTACAACCCCAAGAATTCACTAGAAATTTTGGAAGCTGTGACTCCATCATAACATAAATGGTTCCAGGGAGTCACTTCTGCTCTGAGCAGCTTGAATTTTTAGCCTTAGCAAACAAAAGAGGGTGTTCTACATGAATTTTAAGTGGTTCTTACAATACGCTTCAGCATAGGATTCAAATCATTGCATTTAAATAAAGAATATGTCTCTGCCTGTGTGTGTGTACACAAACACACTCTCTTTCATCTCGCCAAAGGGTTTAAGAGATTGAAGGAAAAAATGTAAACACAACAAATCCTTTCATAATGCATTCCTTTGTTTTGAAAGCCTAGCCTATCTTGAATACACTCCGGAGGTGTTTTTTTTTTTTTTTTGCTTTTTGCTTTTTGCTCTTGCAAAAACCTTGAAAAGAAACTTGCTGAACTTCCTGTTGAAAACTGAAGTGCTTTATTTGATCAAGACAGATGAGAGCTGCTTCTACTATGCTACACCAGTGAATGCATCTTTTCTTGATTTCCATTATCAAGTAGTTCTTGAATTACTGGGACAGACTATTAGCAGATAATGGGTTATCACCCATTAATGGAAGCAAAAGGTGCACTAGTACAGTTTTCTACATTATAGGTTTATATTTATAGTCCCTTTTAAGTAGAATACTCTTCACAGTACCTGTCCCATCCTAGGACCAAGATAGTCCAGCTTAGCACCAAAATCTGAGAAATTTCAACTGTTTGATCCCTTCCAGCATTGAGCTTATGGTGGCAATATCCATTGAAATCCCAGACCTGAAAATATGGGAAAAAATCAGGATATCTGATTTATACTATTCTTTAAAATAATAATAATACTGAAAAATAACAATAAGTAATAATAGCATGGACACTTTAATACTAAGTTTAACATTTTTCATATTACAAAACAATTCAGTGCACTTTACAACTTCTTATCAATATTATCAACAGTACAATATAAACATTTGTATGTTCATACATATATTACAAATCGTATTTAACACTATTTTTTTATTTTGAAAATTTTAATTTAATTACCATAGGATCATCAGCCTCTAGCTTCTACTCTATACATATCATTGTATTCAACTTTAATTTGTATTCTATGATTTATTGTTTTCAATAATGAAACAATTAAATTAGAAAATGGAAAAAATCAGTATATCAAAACCATAGAGGAAAATGTTTCTTGGTAACTTCAAAAATCATGTTAAAAATCTTAAAACTACATAATCCATGTGTTCAGGAGGAAAGAACATGGGGAACCAATGTTATAAACCTTTTTAAACTTTAAAGAACTTACAATTGCAGCTAATTTATTGTACAATACCAACTTAATGTTATACTAACCAACCAAAGGTTAAGTAAAGCACAGCTAGTTTCCATCTACTGCTTTGTATTATAATCATTTGGAAATTTTTGGCAAAATTCAAACTAATAAACCCATTCTTCATTCTTGATTACATCAGAAGATAGAGATTGAAACACTCTATATGTCTATCTGTAGCATCAATCAAAAACTTGTCTTAAATGTGAAATGTAGTATTTTTTTCATCTGACTTGAGAGACACACTCACCTACTCACTGATTTTTTGGCTCATACAAATGAATTAAAATTACTTCTCCCTTTACAAACGCATATCATGCTCAAAAGTGTTTTATCCTCCTCTGTGAGGTATATTTATAAATCACAATTTTGCTCCTTTTATGATTTCTTTTATTTCTTCCTTAGAATTCTCTGTTACTGCTCTACTTATTAACCTGGAAATCCTGTTTGCTATGCATCTCTGAATTCACAATTCCCCTGGGCTTAAGTTCAACTCCTGCTATGTTTCTTTGCTCTTCCAAACATAGCACAGAAGCTAAATTTTGTAGGGAAATTTGAAGGGAACCCAGCTTCTAGTTCAGTTGCTGGGTCCCAGTTAGAGGTGTATATTATGGAAATAAAGCCATTAATACCTCCATTTCTTCAAAAGTAAGACCTACCCTGAAAATAAGCCCTAGCCTCATTTTTAATGTACTCCTAATATTAAGTCCTACCCCAAAAATAAGCCCTAGTTAAGGTCATCAGCAGGGGGGGGCATGGCCAGCAACAGAGGCAGCTAGGGTGGAGGAGCCGACAGTGTCCAGCAGCTACAGCCTGCACAGCGCAGGTGAGTTGATCACATGTCCAAACAGCAGGTGGTGGCAGAAGTGGGTGGGAGGCATGTGATCCAGACATGTGTGGGATGCAGGAAAGCCAAGAGTCAGGCCAGAACAGGCAGGTGGCCTCCGGAGGCTTGTCTTCACATGGCAGAATTGGCAACAGATGGAGGTAGAGATGTGGGGAGGAAAGGCAAGTGATCCCGATGTACCACATGGACTGCAGGAATGCCAAGAGATGTAAAGACAAGCCTCCTATGGCCAGCTGCCCACTCTGTCCCACCATCTCTCAGCTTGCCTGCTCCGTTGCAGCCACAAGCAAGCAGAAGAAGTGGGCTTGCAGCCACGCGGGGTCCTGCTGGACGGGGCTGCCAGAGCCGCCATCACGAGGTAAGGCAGGTGTCAGGGAATGGATGGCCTGGCTGCGAGGCCCTGAGGTAAGCCAGTACGGGTCACATGGGGCAACTCAATGCTGCTGTCCTGCCGCAGCGGCACTGGGGCACCGCGCGGCCTCCTGCCCCATTGCAGTCATGAGCAAGCAGAAGAAGTGGGCCTCCCATATATGGAAAAAAATAAGACATCCCCCAAAATAAGCCCTAGTGCTTATTTTGGCATCCAAGAAATATAAGACCTGGTCCTATTTTCGGGAAAACACGGGTAGTATCTAAGTAGTGACTTTAATGTCCAAAAGAATATGTATCTTTTATTAAATATAAATATATAAATAAAGACTTCCATACTTGTACCTATGATGAGGGTAGGAAAGTAAGAAGAAAACAAGTATTCTATATGTAAAGGAGAGTATCTGAAAAACTTTTAATCAGAGGTAAGAAAAGCAGAGACTCAAAGAAGAACCAAGAGAGGGGCTATTATTTGCTATTTCTAAGCCCAATGTCTCTAGGGATCAATAAAATAAAATTGTAAATAACTGATCTGAAGCTGCAGATGATGGGATTCATTCATTGTGCTAAATTATGAGTAGGCCAGTTCAGTTGCGGAATACCAGACTATATGGATCTGTTTATTGTATATTTGTATATTGTGATTTAAAACACAGCATGTGTGAGCTGAATGAACTTTCACTTCTTTAAGAAATCATAATATAGCACAATTTAGAATTCCTTGGAACACAGTCTTGATCTATGCAAAGGACTATGTTTACACAAGACACCTAACATGCTTACTAAGTTAATCCATTTGGGGGTTTGTACTGTATATTGAACTACAAATTAAGCACTTGAGCAGGGTTTTGACATATCAAAGAAAGTCTGATCAACTTTGGGGCAAATCAGGTTGGTCTGTTGTGCAAATGTATCTGCTTGAACTTTAGCTGATATTTTTAAGTGTGTCAGAAGAACATATTCAAAAGTATTTTTCTTGACTGTATCCCAATTCCAGAATTTAAATGCTTTCTCATCCTAACTTCCATGTGAGGAGAAAAGTGACCCTAAATCATGAATAATAATAATTTAAAAAAAGCAGGACAACATACATTTATAAGGTAAAGAAGAAACCAGAAGGAACAGAAGCAGAAATTAAACACAGTCTGAGGAAAAGCAGTCACTCTTCCAGTCTACTTGGAAGCACAGAATAGGATTATTAACACTTTATTTCTCCAGTTAAAATAATAAAGAATATTATTATTATTGTTTAACTAAAAGTATTGGCTATTTTTATAATGAGTACCACGTCAAGTTCCTCTAGTGGAATTTCTTAGTGGTGGATACTCAAGCTACCCCTCTGATAATATGAAATGGTTCAGCCCACTTCATTTCCCCCCCACTTTTTTTTAAAATAGACATAGTGGGTACCTTGACGGTTCCATCTGTGCCCCCAGTGAAGAGCCGGGTCTCAGTCCCGTCAAGAGCCATAGTGCTGATCTCTGCATTGCCATGACAACCAGTAAACTCTTTGATTTTCTGCCCAGTATCAATCAACCAGAAGATAACTGTAGATCCAGTATCTGAGCTGATTACCTAAGGAAAAGGAGGAGAGAAAAGTCACTTAAATTAAAACCTTGCTGACATGCTCTGCTTCCAAATACCTGTATTATAATAAACTAATACATATGCAGCCTACTAAGTATCAATTTGAAATGCAAATCAGCGCTGATTTTCTCACCTGTCTTCCAAATCATAAAGTTTGTCGGTTGATTTTGATCCTATGCTAAAAGCCTTTCTTCACAGCAAGCTTTATTTAACTGATGAGTAATGATGTAGTTACCATTCAACAAAGAAAAGAGGTGACTTGTTCTTACTGCAGATACTATTTTAATCCAGACAGGGACAATGTGTCTTTAGCAATGAAAATTGCAATCTTTTTCAAACAAAATAAAATAAACCTAAGGTTGCAGTAGACAAAGAGGAAAAGCTTTGTGATATACAGGTAATAAATACCAGCCTTCCTTATGTCAGCAAACTGCTCCATATATAAAGCATTAAGGGAATGTCTCTGAATGCATTAGCTTGCAACATCAGTATTATCCATTTATTTTTAACAGCATATTGGCATTTATTTTCACTATACATTGGAAAAAAGGGCCATTTGGATAAATCATGACATATGACACACACACAAACACACACACAGACACGGGAAAAAAAACCCTTGGTAAAATGTGTGTTGTGATTTCAAAATGCAACTCCAATTTTTTATAAGTCAGCGAGCCATTCCCATGAGTACCAATAGATTATGTTTAATATTTATGAAAGATTTACATGCAGGTAAAACCTACTAGTTATGCTCTAAGTAAAATATAGTTCTCTCTTGCCTATTATAATTTTGTGTGGGGGTTTTTTCCACACTGCCCAATCACTTTCCCGGGGGATGCCAGACCAATTAGATTAGTGCTCTTCATTTGTGTTCCTCAGCATACTCATTCCAAATCTGCATATAATTTATATTCATCATGTTTGCTAGCCATTGCTCTGGCTACCATAGTTACATTCTGTGAATATATCCAATCCCCTTTTAAAATAATTCAAGTTCACATTCTCAAGAAAATGGCATACCTAGTTGATGTTAGCTAACCTCAAAAAAGCTGAGTAGACCTGGTTAGTATCTGAGTAGGAATGTCAGGACTGCCATCCTGGTACACTATGCATTGCCTGTTGTCAGTCTGCCATACTTGATGGGGAGGGGAGCTGTGGGGTGGGATAAGGGGAGTAGTAGCATGAATGGAATTGAAATTAAGCATTGGACCATCCCGTGAGAGCAGTCAGCCATTCCAGGATCATGCAGTGGAATGCAGAACCATCCAGCCTCCAAAGACAGGGAATGTTATGCAAATAATTTGTTAGCACCTAACTGGACACTCACTGATAACTGGGGGGGGAGGGGAGGAGGCAGGAACCAGAGAAAAGTTAACCATATGCTTTGGGCACGAAAACCTCAGATCCAGCTTTGCTTGGCTTTAGTAAAGTATTGTTCTGACCCAGCTCCCCAAACATGACAAACCGTCTGAAGCAGGGGTGAAATCCACCAGGTTCTGACAGGTTCTAGAGAACCAGTAGCGGAAATTTTGAGCAGCTTGGAGAACCGGCAGCGGAAATTTTGAGTAGTTTGGAGAACCGGCTATTACCACCTCTGCCTGGCCCCAGTGTGGGGTGGGAATAGAGATTTTCCAATATCCTTCCCCCGGGAGTGGGGAGAGAATGGAGATTTTGCGGTATCCTTCCCTGGAGTGGGGTGGGAATGGAGATTTTGCAGTATCCTTCCCCTGCCACGCCCACCAAGCCACGCCCACAGGACTGGTAGTAAAACAATTTGGATTTCACCACTGGCCTGAAGTGAACTCAAAAGATTCCTTTATTAGGAGTGCTGACAGCCCCAGCAAAAAGTTTCTCTCTCAACGCAGGCTAACAAGTCCATCTGGCCAGAAGATGAATAGTTGTCTGCCACATCTTTTCATCTCCAGCCCCTGCCTTTTATCCCTAGAGCTAGGGTGGGGCCTCGCTAGCAGCGGTGGCTCTTCCTTCCCCAGGATCAACCCACGGCTTTCCACTGCTCTCCTCTTCTCTGCCTTCTGCGCGGCTGCGCGTCAGGCACTGGACCCAGCTGTTCCTCCTCTTCTTCATCAACCACCTCCAAATCTGGGGGCTGTTGACTCTCCATCTGAGGGCTGACGGATGGCCCAGGCTCCACCTCCATTCCCTCTTCCCCCTCGGAGCTCTTAGGTTGCCTTGATGCTGACCCTGACTCCCACGCTTCCTCCTCCTCTGATTCAGCTGCTGCAGGGGCCGGCGGCTGATAGGCCACAACAAGTATAGTTTGGGCTAAACATGGGCTTGAAAGTCTTTCTTTTCTAACTGAACCAATTGTGACGGCTGACAGGGAGACTCCCAGTATGTCTTCTGTGAGAGTTTCCTAATAAAGACTGACGATTAAATCACAGTTCTCCAAAAAGTTGAAGCATAGCCCAGTTCCTCTTAGATGGCTTGGCTTGGACAGAAAGGAATCTGTATTGCAGACAAGCATGAAGTTATTTGAAACAAGTGATTGCTCAGTGTGAGTGGCAAAGTGAAGATGACTGTTACATCCCTGGTGATTTACATGTATTGCTTCTTTTTCTCACCTTTCCTGGAAACGAATAGATTCTTGATAGGGATGGGTGTCTTAAAGCTGCAGTAGCTGCAATTTCTAGCCTGAGACTCAGCAAACTGCTCCGTATTTATGGCATGAAAGGGATTCATACTCTGAATCCTCATAGTACAGGCAGTCCTCAACTTACAACAGGTCGTCTAGTGACCGTTCAAAGTTACAACAGTGCTGAAAAAAAAAAAGACTTATGACCATTTTTCAAACTTACAGCATCCCCATGGTTACATGATCAAAATTCAGACACTTGGCAACTGACTCATCTTTATGACGGTCCCAGGGTCACGCGATCACCTTTTGCGATCTTCTGACAAGCAAAGTCAAGGGGGAAGCCAGATTCACTTAAAAACCATGTTACTAACTTAACAACTGCAGTGATTGTCCCAAAGGTGCTTTTTCAAGAGGCAACTGGACTTCCTGTTTTTTCTTTGAAGATGTTTCCCTTCTCATCCAAGAAGCTTCTCTGAAGAGCTGAAGAAGCTTCTTGGATGAGAAGCGAAACGTCTTCAAAAAAAAAAACCAGGAAGTCCAGTTGCCTCTTGAAAAAGCACCTTCAGGACAACCATGACCTGGATGACTGAGAATCTCCATTGATATATTTTATCTGTGTCTGATTCATTACATTTATATATCCTCCTTGCATTTTGAATATCTCAACGAGGCAAATCTAATGCTTCCTCCTTCTATTGTACGGTTATAGAGACTAATTTGATCCTGAATTTAATAACTGCAGCAAGATTGTTGGTGGTGCAGTATTGGAAGAAGGAAGATTTGCCTACTATTCAAGAATGGATATTAAAAGTAGCAAACTTTTAAGAGTTTAAAAGTAGCAGAGTTTAAAAGTAGCAGAGATGGCAAAGATCTCAGCGTATTTGAAGGACTATTCAAATGAGAAATATATGATAGAATGGAGAAGATGGATAGATTATATTCAAAGTAAATATCGGATTAAAAAATTTCAAATAGCTTACGAATAGATAGAGAGATTTTATTATGTATTCAAATTTAGTTTGGTAAATGCAGAGTTAAAGTATTAGAAGGTTGTAAGAGGTTATAATTAATTAGACTATGTTAGATTATGATTGTTGAATGTTATGCCCTGTATTTTGCTCTGGGAAGTAGGGAGGGGGGTGAGTGGGAGGGGGAGGGTTGGGGAGGGTGGAAGGAAGCGGGGGGATATATATGTAAACTTTTTAAAACTTTTCAATAAAATTAAAAAAAAGCACCTTTGGGACAACCAAGACCTGGATGACTGAGAATCTCCATAGACTTGGTACTACAATCTCCAAGAGCCTTGGTACTACAGGGGTTTAAGGCACCCTGTTATTAAGCTTATTAAGACCAGCTGCCTGCAATTACTGCAGGGTTCGAATCTCGCCAAGGCTCAAGGTTGACTCAGCCTTCCATCCTTTCTAAGGTAGGTGAAATGAGGACCCAGTTTGTGGGGGCAATAAGCTGACTTTGTATAAATATACAAAAGGATGAAGGCTATTGCTGAGCACATTGTAAGCCGCCCTGAGTCTTCGGAGAAGGGCGGCATATAAATCAAATTAAAAAAAAAAAAAAAAAAAGACAACTGCAGTGATTCATTTAACAACTGTGGCAAGGAAGTTCGTAAAATGGGGCAAAACTCACTTAACAATTGTCTCACTTAGCCACAGAAATTTTGGCCTCAATTGTGGTCATAAATTGAGGACTACCTATATTCTCAGCTGACAAATATCCTGACATAAGGCAATGACAAATAACTTGCAAATCGCAAATGAGAAAACTCCATGGATGGGCCCATGATATCATCAGACTTGAATTCATATTTGAGGGAGATAAATTAACCTCCATTACCATTATTTATTCTGTACTGTCTGCACTTGACCCGGTTCAATGTGAAATACTTTCCATTAAAATATGACAATGAAATCATGCCAGTTTTATTTTTAACAATCATGCCAATTTTTTCTAATGGTGTCTTACACTGTACCAGGAAAGACAGAGAGCTTTCCCTCTATTGATGGGTTTTATTCATCCTTAATTCTGAATAGGTTTAAAGTGAATTAGTCCATCTATTTTGTCTGAAGTTCATATTGCTTAAAATAAATATCGTCTACCAAATCATCTCCCAAGCATTTCTTCATTTTGTTTGGTAGACAGATTATATTGGGTAGACGTATATAGCAGGGGTGAAATGTTCCCAGTTCAGCGGCGGGTGGTTCGGAGAACCAGTAGCAAAAATCCCTGCACACCCCCCCCCCATGCCCAGCTGAGCCGCGCAATCATCAGAGGCTGGTTTTTTTTTACTTTTAAAAGCATGTTTTCTACAACCTCTTCGGCCGAGGCTTTTAAAAGCATTTTTTAATGCAACCTCTTAAGGTTGTAGAAAACA